GTCAATACTGGCTTAGTGCTGTCGAGACCGAGAGCGAAAGAGGGATAGGTACCGATCCCCGGCCAGCGTGTGCCATGCCTTTGATGAGCCGATGGCTCGCTCCCGCGCCGATGCCCAGTGTGAACACGCGCGTGTTCTTACTGTGCTGCTTCACGAACTGGATCACTTGCTCCGTGTTGGATACCTCACCTGTCCGTTCAGCCGAGCGACATGTCGTATGAAAGCGTAAGTGTCCGAGTGTGCCCCACACACATAAAACACGCACGCACGCTCACACGCCTGCACGAGAGACTGGGTACCGTCGGTGAGGAGAATGACCTGGCGTGGCACGCCCGGTTTCTCCGGGACTCGAAAGATCTCTTCCAGCGGCCTGCGGCCGGCAACATACAAAGCGCTTTGTGTGAGTGTGCAACCCATCCTGTGTTGCGGAAGTCAAGAGAGGCGGGCGGGGCAGCGCTACCGCAGGATTTCGGTGCCGCCGAGGTCGGCGTCGAGGGACAGCACGTGCTGCTGAGCCTTCTGGAGGCTGGTGTCGTCATAGGCGACCGAGGATCCGAACAGAGTCACGTGGCTCGACCCGAACCCTGAGCAGTCACATGTGACGACAAAGCTCAGTAGGACGAAGGCCTGGGGCACCATTAATTGCTCGATCGAATCATTCAAACGCGGTACCGACGATGTTGAAGGAGACGTGGCCGCCCGGCAAGCTCTTGAGGAACAGCATCAGCGCATTCCTGGCCTGCTCGATCGACCAGCCGCTCATCGAACCCGACCTGGGCAGCGGCTTCACCCGTTAGAATGATGCGGCGCTGTGGGGCGAGCGGCCGTGATGTACCGATCAAGGAGGAAGACGATCTCGACCGGTAGGCTGCCGCTGATGGTCGAGCTGCTCGATGGGAACTCGGGATAGAGGGTCACCGCAGCGGCCCGGCTGGGCTCGCCGTCATCTTCGTTGGTCTCGATCCACACGCGAGGTGCTCGAGGGGCAGTCTCCTCGATCTTGAGTACAAATTCCTTGGCTAGGCTGGCCGTGAGTGTGACTCTAGCCGAGCAACCTGGCAAAGCACGGGGACGGAATGGTATTATACAACACACGATGCAGGTGTGTGTGTGTTGTGTGTTGTGTGTGGTGTGT